CTTCTCCTCCTTTTTTTCCGGGTGCATCTATGTACCACCACCCATTCTTCGTGAGATCTCGTTTTTTTGGGGGGCTGCCCCAAGTGAGCTTCCAGAGATTTGGGGGGGGGGGGGCGGGGAATCTCGATTTCATGGGGTGTAAAAGGGGGGTGGCAATTTCGTGACACTGTTGTTTTCTGAAATTCTGCCTATGGAATGGATGCGTTGCTGAAATTCCCGCATTCTGCTGGGTTTTCTAAATCTGTGTGTGTGCGTATTTCTTTTTTTTCTTTTATGTGTGCCTGACTGAGTGGCAAAGGGTATGAGTGTGTGTCACCCGCAAGGGTGCTTGCTTCTTCGGCAAGCCCGTAGGGCCGGTACTTGCCTGTGCCCGTGGCATTGAGGGTTGCAGTGGGGGAAAACACTCGGGTGGCGGATCCAGGGGCCCACGGTGCTTCGAGCAGCAGAAAAACACTCACGTGGCAGGTGGGCCGGTACCGCACCCAGTAGTGGTAGACCATCGATGTGAGGGGTGCTTGAGGCCGTGGAGAAGAATACAAAGTTGGCATTGCTTAGAGACCCGGTACCGGTAGGGTACATCTAGGCCGGTGCCAGTTCATCCAGTCTCAAGTCTAGAGCCTGTACGGGCAATATCAAAGTCTGCAATGATGCTCCCGACCTCCCACATGTGTATCTTTTTATTTTTTTTTCCCGATTTCTGATTTCCTTTCGTTGTTCTTTGGTTGTTTGTTTCTGCGTTTCACGTCGTTTTGCATTTTACCTTTGATGTCCAGGCGATCAGCACTTTTGCGTTCATCGTTTTTTCCAGTTTCATAACATTTTTTTGTCGCTCTGTCGCCGACTCCGGTCTTTGTCGCAAGTTGGCAACATTCTCTACGGGTTCCGACACCGTCTTCTTCTCGCGGCTTGAGGCTTTCATCATGTCGCAGGACCTGGGGAAGGGTGCGGCGGACTCGTTCACAACCGCCAGACAAGGTCACAACACGAAGATGTTCGACTCGCCGATCAAGGTCGACCCGAAAGTCGACAGCAAGAGGGACGACCCGGTGTGGCAGTTCATTCCGAGAGGCCGTTATTTGGATGGGTTGACGGCGGTGGGTAGGAAGAGCGGTCGTCGATGCCTGTGCAGGTTGTGCGGGCGTTCGATTTGTGGGGGCGCTAAAGCCGCCAAGAAACACTTCTCGAAGAGCGAGAAGTTCCGATGTGAGGCAGCCATTCCTGCGGTGTGGTATGCGATCTGGTCGAAGGACATCACAAAATGTACGAAGGAGTTTGCGTCGGCCATAGAAACGTTGCAGAGCTTGGCGCCACGCCATCCGAGCTTGCAGTGGCCACCACTGCGGTACCCCGAGGACTCAGTGCCGCCGCCGGTTCCTACCACCGCCCCTTCAGCACGGTGGCTTCGCCCAATGCTGCGGCTCCAGCTGTTCGAGTCATGGTTCCGCGTCCCTCAACAACACGTCCGACAGCCCCGCCGTCTGCACCGCTGGCTGGGACACCAGGTGCTCGTGATGTGGAAGTTGGTCGGTCTGCGCCAGCCAACGAGCCCCCGCCTGTGAGGGATGGTGGAGGCTCTGCGGCATTTGACGAGGAGAGCACACATGCTTTTATTGAGAGTCGCCGGTGAGGGAGGGATGTCGGCACTTCATCCGGACTCCCCCCTGTGTTCAGGAGTGCTAGACAGTCACCTGTCGCATGGGTTGGTACTGTTGTGGCACCTGCCGCACCTGCCCGTTGTTCATCGGAGCACCCTTGGCTGCCGCCTCCACCGTCGCGAGTGGCGCAGCGTCCGGCGGTCGACCACGTTCACGCATCTGCCCGCCCTGATCCTTCACACGTACCTGCAGATGCTCGACAATCTGCTTCCATTCCTCGTGTTGGGGAACTGGCGGAGCATGGGGTGCCTGCCGAGGAGGTCCCCCCTCCGGTGTCCGATTCATCGCCGACCCCGATTAAGACGACGACAGGTGTTGGTAGGTCTGCTCCACCCGTGTTGACCGGATCATTAGATCCGTTGCAACGCATGCGCGACCTTGCAGCCGCCCAGAGCGCGGCACCTGCGAGTCCTGGCGGGTTGTTGGATGTCGGGGTCCTCAGCGGGCGAGCCACGACAGGACGAGGCCGGGGCACTTGTCGGCATCAAGTCGTCACGTCATATTATTTGGACCCTTTGGAGCGTGCGTGGCATCTGCAAATCATGCGGTTCATCGTCGAGAGCGGGATGTCGTTCAACTGCATGAAGCTTGAAAGCTTCAAACGCATGTTCACGATGATCATCCCGCCGGGGGTTCCGCGGGCACCCACGCCTAGACTTCCCTCCTACCACATGCTGCGCACGACCCTTTTGGACGAGCTGGATGGTGAGGTCCAGAAGTGTGTTTGGCCGGTACTTGACACGTCGAGAGAGACTGGTTGCACAATCATGAGCGATGGTTGGACCAACATCCGGGGGCAGACGTTGTGTAACTACCTTGTCTAGACAGAAATATGGGTAGTGTATGTGGTCACCGACGTCATGCGTGGCAAGAAGGACACCAGTGCCCTCGCGACCGCATGGTTGAAAAGGGTGAAGTCCATGGACATTAACTTGAGCGACATCACAACGTTCATGACGGACTCCGCCGGGGTGAACCTCGCGGCGATGGAGGTTTTCCAAAAGGATGAGAGTGTGAAACACATCTTCTAGATTCCTTGCGTTGCCCACATCATAAACCTCATTCTCGAGGACATCGGCGGGATTGATTGGGTGGCTTCCCGTATTGCACAAGCGAGGCTGGTGACAAGGTTCTTCAAGCGCCATGGCCATGCGAGAGAGGTTCTTGAGGCGTACTCGAAGAAGACTCTTCTGCTGCCAACAGAGACGCGTTTCGGCACGAACGTCATCATGATGACGAGGCTGGTGGAATTACGGACAGAGTTGATATAGGTTGTAGGCGACGATCACTGGGGTGAGATTGTTTGGTCGACCAGCAAGATCCGCAAGGACGCCGCGGAGGTCACTGCGTGTATCGGCTCTCCTCTGGTGGGAGGATTTGAGAGCTTTGTGCAAGATGCTTGAGCCCATCATGGACATGCTGAGGTTGGTGGATAGCGACACACGCCAGATCAGCAAGATTTTGCGATGTTATGAGGAGATGATTGCATCTTGTTTGTCCGCATGTCGTGACATTGATCGGGAGAGCAGCAGGACGCTATTGTGGAGGTGTTCCTTAGGCGGCGCACCATGTTCAAGAACCCCGCCCACACGGCAGCCATGATGCTAGATCCCGAGTTCCAGGACGCGACGCTGTATGACGATGCGGAGGTGCAACAGGCATTGGTCGATGTCCTAGTCCAATTCAGCTATCTAGAGGGATCGCCGCAGCATCGGGAGGTCCAGCGAGCGGTCTCCAAACTCCATACCAGGGAGCCTCCTTTCGATGAGCTCACCATGCGACGGACGATGGAGGTTTTCGATCACCCTGCCAGTTTTTGGTCCTCGAAGAAGGCGAAGTTCCCTCACACGGCCGTGTTTGCCGGCAGGATCTTTCGCATCTAGGCAACCGCATCACCGTGCAAGAGAGCTTGGTCTCATTAGAGCTTCATTCATTCGAAGTCTCGCAACAAGTTGGAGGTTCCCCGGGTTGAGAAGTTTGTGCGGTGCCACAGGAACCTCAGGCTGCTCGATAGACCATCGTTGTGTGACGATGGTGCTGGAGAGAGGCCCGGCATCTTCGGGAAATGGGTGCATTATTGGCAGGCCGTGGAGGACGAGGCGGCCGTGGACCAACAACTCATCAGAGGCACCGGTGCGCTGGCGAAGGTGACTGAGGAAGAGTTGAGCCTCACCAGAGAGAGGATGCGCACCATTTCCCGCATGGGAGCCGAGCGTCGGGTGGCGGAGTCCGACCAGAGGCGTCGCAGGGCCGGAGGTCGTGGACGTGGGTCCCGTGGCGGCCGTGGGCGAGCAGATGCGGGAGGACCGGCATGTGGCGACGTGCGTTCCGCTTCTCGGACTCGGTGACAGCGGGCGGACAGTTTCATTCGTAAGGCCCGCATGCGTTAAGACGAGGGAGACTTCTTGTTCGACAGCACATCCAGCGACGACGATGATTTCTTTGCGTTGGGCACACATGCGGCCACGGATGATGATAGAGGCGACGGTGACGACAGAGGCGACGGTGACGACAGAGGCCATGGTGGAGGCGACGGTGACGACAGAGCCGATGGTGACGGGCCTGACGGCACTGACGAGGCAGGTGACGGTGGACACGAGGGCGTAGGACGTGATGGCGGTGACAGAGGCGGGGGCGGGGGAGGCGATGGCGGAGGCGGGGGCGGAAGAGGTGATGGTGGAGGGCCTGGAGGCGG